TCATCTGAGAAAACGATTCAGAAAGCTGGTAACACTGCAAGGGTTTATCTGCACTGGGTACGGGAGAGTTATTTAGTATTGTGATGCCAAGTAGCACCAACTTATAGAAGCACAATATATTTGTTGGTCACTCAGCACCTTTTGTTTCATATCAATCTATCAGCCTCAAGTAGTATGTTTGGGTTTGAAAGACTTCTCTGGAGATCACTTTTTTTTTGCAGTATGTGATTGTACCACATCCAGCTTGACCCTGGCTTTCAGGTACTAACCACAATATAAAAGCCCAGGTAAAGTTTTTTTGGTTTCCAAGCTTAAATGATCATTCCTAATAATCAGAGAGCTTTTGTTTAAGATATCAGTGAATAATTTCTGCCTAGTGTTCTGGATGCATTTATACTCCTCCAAACTGAGGTAAGTGTTTAGGACACTAAGCATTTAATCGTATACTAGAGATAAGGACATGGTGGTCTATGTCTCCCATGATGTGTCACCACTAGACACTATATGGACACATTAAAGGTGAAGCCAGGATGTAGTCCTGACCCAAAGAAAACCTCGGTGAAACCTGCTGAATTTGACAGCTGCCAGAAATCATTATAACCATTTCAGAGGAAAAAAACTTGCAACTTTCCACTGAATCCTCAATTATCAGAAAGAAATATTCCAGACTAGCATTTAAAAGGCCACCAACAACTTGCTAGAATCCCCAGCTTCATTTTTTTTTTAAAAGACCTTGCATAGTAATTTAAGTAAACGACTCTGCTGATACAAAGAGCCCAGGCGTGCCCTTTTGAAGTGCAACAGAAACATTGCAAACTGTAAGGTATGAACAGAAGTGCTTCAGTAGTTCCATGCCACACAAGTCTCCATCTAACGAAATGCATTAAGTAGCTCAAATCTATGAACAGTTGCTCAAGCGGACAGGCACAAAATGGAACCAAGGATATATGTATTTAAATGCCCTTTCCAGCTAATTTAAGAGACTTACGCACACAATCGTCTTTTGGTAAATCAAGAAGCATTTAAGAAAAACACAGAAGTTGACACAGCTGATTTTGATGTAAGGTAAATTAAAAAAAGTCCATCAATCCAGTGAAATGGGCTCGAGGGGCTCAAATCTGTTCTCTCATGTGCAGGAGTGTGTGTGTATTGACAGAGAGCATTTGAGGACTCTGACTGGAGAAAATGTAGTGTTAGAAGTGCCTGTTGGAAGGGTCTGGAGTTTGCCAGAGAAAGATGGAGGAAGTGAGAAAGAAGAGAAGAAGAGTTCACTTGTGTGTGTAGTTTATACTGTTAAGTTCCTTTTCATAGTCCTGCTACTGCATGGCTTCAGCTAAAAGCACAAATGGCCATCTGCTGTCCACTTCCTGTTTATCACACTCATTTGAAGTATTACCCATAACCTAGTTTGACACCAACAGTCACTCTTCAATAGGAAGAAGTGATAAAAAGACCTTGAGATGGAGAATGAAGAGGGTTACACAGTACTTCATTTCAAAGCAAGGAAGAAAAGCTCCAATGCAGGTGAGCATGTAAGCATTTATGCTATGCCTTCAGGGTTGTTCGGTGAATAACAAACCTCTCCAGCTATATTTGAGTTACAAAAAACCTCAAATCTGCCAAAATTTTAGTCGGTGTTACTAAAGTTGCCAACGATATATGGCGGTATACAAAGAAATACGACAGATTGTAGATAAAATGCAGTAGTAATAGTACCACCAGGCTTGGAGTACCAGTGCTGAAAGTCCTAGTACAGTCGAGACTAGGAGATAGAGGCGTATGAGGAAAACGTGAGGCAGTAGTTCTCTGCAACTTTGGCAGTGCTTAATGGCTCATTAGCTATTTAAGGTTTTTACAGTTTTTGGGGGGGTTTTGTTGTTGTTTTGCTTTGTTTTGTTTTCAGGGGTCACAGCTAAGAAGAACTTAAGAATATTTTAAATGAAAATGGTAAAACAGTAACTTACTGTCCAGTAAGCTTTTTCAACAACTTGTGAGGATTTTGTCAAAAGTGTCAGCAAGGAAGAGAATACAAAGATATATGCTGGAAGGTTTTCAAGCTCAACCTTGCTAACTGTTATTTCTTTTAAGTGTCCTAGGTCAGAACTTCTCAGACCATAAATAACAAGTCCTCAGAGCAATTAGACATCCAGTTTCCAAACAGTTAATTAGCTATGATGACCAGTTCCTAAGAAATCATGGCTGCACATTTCTGTAGGAACAATTTTTAATACAAAAAAGCAAGACCCAACTTCGGTTACTCAGTACGGCAGGATAAATTGTATGCAATTTTACGGACACAAATTGTGCCAGTTTGTCTGTTATTAAAACCACTTAGCTGAGACCGTGTTCCCAACTGCAGTAAAAGCATAGAACCAGAAAAAATGAAAAAAAAAAATATCAGAAAACTGATCATGAAAGCTAATATTCATTTAACTAAGAATTTTCAATGGTCTTTAAGATGTTTGTCAAAGTGCACAAAAATATTGCCGCAACAGAGTAGATGATTGAATATTTCCAGTTAAAAGGAGCAGAAAGTCAAAGTGTATGTGGCACATATACAGAGGAGTATGTGACCACAAACACGCAGAGCAGAGTGACAAAGCTGGGTTTAGAGTGCTCTATCTTCATCGCCTACCTGCGTGAGTGGGTAGCATGACACGACAGGGCAGCAGAAAGGCTTCAAGAAAGCAACTGAAGAGAACAGTGCTTTCATGTAGCTTGTTAAACGATGCACTGCAAGCTGAGTCTCTGCTTGCAGGGAACGGTGTGTGAGCTAGCTTTAGACCAGACACAGACTCGTCCAGCGTGATACACATACGGAATACAGAAGTTCATTCACTGGAGTGGTTAGAAATGGTTGCAATGCCTCATCGGCATAATCTGGTGCGTTATCCGTGCCAGTTCGTGCAGTAGAGAAGGATGACCACAACGCTGAGCTCCCCTTCCCCCGGGCAGTCCCATCCGGTCTTGACAGTGGTGCAAGCTGCAGAGCTGACTCGAGAGGCTGGGCAAAGGCTGAGCTGTGAGCTCGTGCTGCCTTGTCAGGGCTGCGGTGTTGCTGCTGCCCGAGCCCATCCTGGGTAGCTGAGCGCTAATCTGAGTATTTGCACGAACCACTGTTACTGTTCTGCCTGCAGTCTAGCCATTGTGCAAACCATGGCAGAGTTGAGACTAGACCTCAGGTATCCTAACTGCCTTTTTTTTTTTTTTTTTAATGTCAAAATCACTGCATAGCACCCGAGGGAAGAAGGAAAACGCACACAGATGCTTAAGCATAATATGTTGCATTTATTTGCCATCTGAATAGGGTGGCAATATAAAGCCAGTGGGGATTAGCTGTTTGACTATTTAAAGATGACTAGTCACATCTACAGTGTTTCCCACATAAGTAGGATTGAACAGACAATTGAAGAAAAAACATGTTTGACCTCTGTGCAAAACAATGGTGGCTAGGAATGAGACACAAAATGAAAGGGTTAATGGAAATGACTTGATCATGTAGCACAAAGATCAAGTTGTTTCATGATTTGGAATACAGCTCTGTGCATTAAATTTTTGAAATAGCGTAGAAGCAACAACTTTTCAAACAGCTGATTCACATCTGATCTGGACCACCAGCATTTGAAATGTAATGGCTTTTAAAGGATACTTCCATGGGGTACTTCCTGATCTTATTTACAAGTTAGAGAACAAGTTCTCTACAAGGTATAACATTTTGGCACCCTGTTTTCTCTTCCAAGGCTGGCTGTTTCCATGAAACGGAAATTCTGTTACTCTCTGACTTTATTTCTGGGTCCTAACTCATGGAAGGTTCTCATGTAAAATGTTTTTTTCCCATGAAGTTAAGTTTAGACAAGGGGAACAGTGTATTATGCCTCGGTCTTTCTAGAACACTCACAAAATATTTCCTGAAACCACTAATGTTAGAAAGCTAGGAAGAAAAATTAACATGACATTTCCCACATAGCTGGGCAACTTCTAACTGTTCTCCTCCCTGCTCCAAGGAATCGTTTGAGGTATCACAGAACATCTTTTATGCCTCGGTTATTTTAAAGAGCTTTGCTGTATGGCAGCCTACATTAATTATATCGCTACACCTTCCAAGAACATGCTGACAACCTGCTGGAGCAAGTCCAGCTGAGGGCTCCTGAGACAGTGAGTGAGCTGGAGAAGTGTCACGAGAGGAGAGGCTGAGACAACTGGTGTGCAGCCTTAAGAAGAGAAAGCTGAAGGAAGTCTTACCTTTCTCTTTAACTACTGAATGGGAAGGTGTAGCGAAAACAGAACCAAAGTCTTCTTGAAATTGCACATTGCAAGACACAAGTTGGAACAGGGAAAATTACAATTTGATACAAAAATTGTTTCTTCTGTGGCTGTGGCCAAACACTATGTCAGGAGCCTGGAAAAGCTGTGGAATCCTCATCCTTGGAGATACTTAGAAATTGGCTGTACAAAGCCTTGAGAAACCTGCTGTAACCTGACTCAGCCTAAGCAGGAGTCTGGACTAGATGACCTCCTGACATTCCTTCCAGCCTACATAGTTCTGTGATTCTATGCCCAGATATGTAGAAACTAGGAAGTGGTATGGCAGGAGTGTGACAGGCCTTCAAGAATAAATTTTAAGGCTGTTGGGTAATATTGAGAGCGAAGATTCATGATGATTGTGCATTTCCAGGCTTTTCTGATTCTAATTAAAAGTAATTTTCTTTGAGTTACAAGGGAACTCATTTTTGCATCTCCATAAATTGACCATAATCAAGCATCCAGCCTGCAAAGAAGCCCTGTTTAATGCCCTGTTTAATTTTGCAGTAATTTTCCAGGTGGGAGTGGCTGAACATCAAGGACTCATTAAAAAAAAAAAAATTGGCTGAACATCAAGGACACATTAAAAAAAAATCTCCAAGTTATAATGCAGACTTTTCTTAAGGTCTTTGACTTGGCATACAGTGTACAGGTGATAAATCTAATTAGTGGGTCCTGGAGTTACAGAGTTTAATTTTCAGAGAATCTACCAGTCCTTTGTTGCTTGATAGTGTTGGTATTCATAGCCTTAGAACTTCATTTTTGTTCTTACATGTTATATAAATCTCTTTCTCTGCAACTGTTAGAAACTTCAGTTCTTCCTTTTTCACTAAGTTTGTGAGGTTTTCTTTATCAATGTTTGTTAAGTCCTTGCTATGACATCTAAGAGTCTTTATGATGTCTGCAAGTGACATCCCCTGGCTATGAAGAAGCACAAATTGTTCAGTAACCACTCAAAACCTTGAATTAACCAGCAAACAGTGAAGACAGCATGAAAAAATTCAAGCCCCCAAAAGTTCTCATAAATGAAAGTTTATTAATGCAAGAAGCACTTAATATGCAAGAGGCAACCAGAAGGGAAAAATCAACTGTGACAAAGCACATAGCAAAGTGACGGTGATGGACATTCTCTCTGAAAGATGTCTAGAGAAACCCAGATTTGTGTCCTGGGTAGCAATTCATGCTGTGTTTGTAAAACCCTCTTCTTTCTTGCAGAACTTTCCTCTAATTCTTCAGGCTTGCGGTATCTTGCTGCTGTCTCAGGATTTCTGAATGTTGTGTTTCTGGGAGCTGTGATCGCATTAATTCATCAATGTGAGTGACCAAGTGAAAGCTTTTGCTCTAATTCCTGTGAATTTGACAGGTATTGATCCTTCACTCAAACAAGTTTTGCAAACAGTATTGATAAGGTGACAAGGCCACTCATACTTTCTACTTTTGTGTTTCTGATGAAGGTGGGAGGGAGTCACCATCATTTTGGGGCTGTGGATCTGCAGACAGTCAGTGGCTTTCAGAGGACCGTTGCATGTTTGGGATGTATAAAGAGGGCTGGAGTCTTTTTCACTTTTCCGTCCCCCAGTCTGAGAGTCCCTCCTATTCCTTTCCAAAAGTGAACAACCCACCTAAGTTTCTAGCCAAAGAATCCATCCATCCATCCAAATCTTTTAGTAATGAAACAGAACACGCTCCAGGTCAATGGGTCAACTGAAACCCCTTCTATCTCCTTCCCCTCCTCTCATCCCCACAGCCAGTCTTCACCTCCTGATACCCTGCTTTGCTTACCTTAAGTCTCAGCCAGTCCTCCCTGGTGTGTACAATGGGAATGTGAGCTGAACTTCAGGGGTGGATGAGATAGGAGGCTGGAAGACAGTACACATAGTTGGAAAAGACCTCCTTACAGAGAAATAAAAATGTATGCCTCTAAGTTTAGAAAAGTGGCCTTTGCATTGCCCACAGAATTTGTGCATAAGCACTGGGTCACTGCCAGCATTGATCACATGTGTACAGAGCTTACCGCTCCATCACATACATCTGCCATTACCCCTGAGCATCTAAACTTAGAGATCAGAGAGAAATGGTTGCAGCTGCCCTGGTCAAGCAAGTTGAACAAGTTTTTGGGTTGTTATCAATAAGCATCTGAATATTGATCAAGGAGTCTGATTTTAGTTTCCTCCTTTAGAAAATCTTGACCTGGTAGTCCCAATGTCCAGCCTGCTTCTGGACATCAAAATCACTTGAGAACACAAAAGAAAATGAGAACTCAGAAGCACTTCTGAGCATAAGTATCCTGCAGAGTCAGCTGTTGTCCCTTTCTCTGGATGCGAGTCCTGCCTTCTCAAATCAACCCATTATTTTCTGATATAAGCTTAATACAAATTTCAGGAACTCGAAAATCAAAGGCACAACCATGTTATTTGAAAGACAACTATTGCATATCACGTTGTCAAAAGCATGATGATAATGGACACTGCACTGTCTTTGTGAAGTCAGTCACCTCATGTATTTGTTTAATGTATGTGATTTGGATGCTCAACTACTCAACCCACTGTTTACAGGAGAGCTGGAAAGATAAATGAGCAATCTGAGTATCCATGGAAAAATACTATGGGGTTTCTATACAGTTCACTTGTGAGCTTTACATAAAATGTTGGAGATTCTTGTCCAGGTGACTTGCTATCAAGTGACGTGTGGAAGCCCAGAGAAAATCTTTCTGGAAGTGACAGTATCTTTGAGGAAGATCTTCACATAAACAGCTTACTGACTACATTAAAGGAAAGCTTATGCATACATACAAATGGTAAGGAAATAAAATCTCGCCCATAGCAGTATAAGTGGTTTGAAGCTCTTGAAAAGATTAATATAAACACCCACACAAAGGAATTGACCTTTAGATACCAGAATAAGCATGCATATGTTGATAAAGATGTATAAAGTGATCTATTTTAGAGTTCCATCCTTGAAAATTTTAGTTTAAGCAAAAAATAAAAGCAGAGCAGTGTTACTGAAGGTCTTTGTTATTTCTCCATAGATGCCATTGAATTGTACTACTCCCAATGATTTTAGCAGAGCTGGGACTTTATCCATGGCTTTTACCCCAATTATTATGTAAAATATTTAGTACAATTATCTGGAGTTATGAAACATTTAAAGGCACAGAGTGATCCCTAATCAAAGAATGTCTATCCTTAATACCACTGTAAAGCAGGAGCAATGTGCTTTCTTAAAATAAACTATACCATCACAATTTTTGCCCTGTCTTCAATTTAAAGCTTCTTTACTCCCTTATTCAGAAGCTGCAGAAAAAACAGGAGGTAATAAAAATGGTAACAGTTGTAAAAAAAAAAAAAAAAGTGACAAAAGTCCCTTCACTCCAAACTCTTCACAGACTCCAGATGTGAACTCTGCCCCGTTGGATGGAAGCTGCATTATGGGAGATGTTATTTCTACTCAGAAACTCGTGAAACCTGGGACAACAGTAGAAACTACTGCTCAGGAAAAAAATCTGAGCTCCTGGTTATAGAGGATGAGACTGAAATGGTAAGCTTGTAAGGTACTCTGTGGTTTAAATATATCCACATCTCAAAGTATAGCTTTCCATGTACTTTTAGAAGCCATTTCTAATCCAGATGCACTCATAAAAGGCATTATGAGTGGAAAGTGCTCTGATGGTTGGCTTCTGCATGTTAAGAAACATTTGTGTCAAACAGAAGACCAATAGACTACATTTTATTTAAATAGATGCAATGATATGCCTGGAGACTATCTCCAGCAAGAAGCAGCTGGTATTTGAAGGATTCTTGCATATTTCATTCCAAATCAAAACTCTTCAGAATTAAGCTGTCATAAAGGCTGGTGCTCCTTGGTTGCTCCACTTACCATCATTAGCCATGGTCCTGGGTGTAGTTGAGAATCTGAACTAATTTCCATGCAGTTTGTTTTTGTTTTTTCTTCTCAATTTCTTGGAAACATTCTATGTAATCTTTGGGCATGAAAGCCTTACTGCTTTTTAAAATATTAGTTACCACTATACGCTACTGGTGCTGGAGTTTTATGAAGTGTCAATACTATGAGAGTTCAAAGACGTGCCTGTCTCTAGGATTTCTTAAACAAACTGAAGGAAAAAGACATTGGCTTTGTTTGGACTGGATTAAACTTTGATGAGGAAGAAGGAAGATGGCTATGGCTCAAAGATCCCAACCATCCAGGGCGCAGGTAGGTTCATTCTGGAGTGAATCTGTGTTGGCTTCCATGACGTGTTCTCCCCTCACAGTGTCCAGGCTGTTCAGTCATTAGACTGTGCAAAAGTAGTAGTAAGATACTCCCATAATCCAGTTAGGCAGCTCAGCCTATTCTGATTTTTCTCAGTGCAAAATTCTGATCAAAACATGCAGCTGAAAAGTGAAATTCCTTGATAGCTCTCAGAAAAGGAACTGATTTTATTAGGAGGTGCCTATGCTGTGTAAGCTTTTTACTTCCAGCTGCATAACAAGTAGGAAAACAGAGAAAGGGTGAAGCTTACTAAATAAATAAAAAGAATCAAAAGAATGACAACATAAAGACAAAAATATCCGGCCTTTGTGGTTTCACTCTTTGTATATGCAAACAAATGTTTTCAGTGATGATCTTCCTATCTGTGTGTTGTTTGTTTCTTGCAGTTTTACAGTAAAAGGAAGGAATAAAGAAGAAAAATGTGCTGTCTATAAGTTGACAGAAATGCACGCTGATAATTGCCACTCCCTGTACAAGTGGATTTGCAAGAAGAGTGCAGTCTTTCTGGGTATCTAAGATACTGTAAAGTGAAAGTGAATAGGGTTTTTGAAGAGTCTTAGAAGGTTTACACCACTTTACCGTGGGTAGGACATCTGATGTAAAATGAAGGGGAAATTGTTGACCTGAATTGTGATGAATCAATGCATTGTGATTCTATTTGTGATTAAAGTCCAGGAAGATTTCAGGCTTGTGTCTTTCTTCTTTTCAGGATGAAGGTGTAAAATCTGTGTGTCTTTGCATGCTGATGCATTGCCCCTTAGAGCTATTAAAATAAGCAGCTTACTAATTTTAAGTAATTTACAGAGTTTAAGTAACTGAAGAGTTGTGTAAAACACAGGTAAAACGAGAGTTTTTTACCAGCCTGGCAACTAGATCATACAGGAGTCAAAAAGTTGCTGTTGCTACTTACTTTGGGTGAAGAGATGTTAATCAGCACTATGCACTTAAACTAACCTGCAAATCTCACCACTGGAGGTGTAATACTGGAAGACAGCATAGCCCTACACAAGACAAAGTCAAGATTGAATATTTTTTAAAAGAAGTTGAATTTTGTGTACTTCATTCAGTGTTACATTTGGCATTTTAAAAACCCATAAATACCTCTTCAATTTGGATGTGAGATTTAGTTGCCTGATATGATGTCTTTTTTCTATTAGCATGTTAGAAATGGCAAAATCATATTTATGGGGCTACAGGGCTATAATACTTCCTTTTGTTAGTCTACTTCACAGACACTTTTACAAGTCAAAAATGGATGCTGCAAACCTTTTACATCTCAAGGCTACTGATCAGGATGAGGCAGCAGATCTCAGAGACATTTGCTCTTTTCTGTCTGATCTTACTTTGAGATAATTTGTATAGGTCTGAGAGTAATTTGTAGTTCTTCATTGTTATGTATAACTATAACATACGTAAGGTATGTTAGGTAATTTTATCTTAGGTAATTTTATACCTAAGAAAAGTCAGTATAATGATTAAAATGATGACTCTAGCATGTAAAACCAAGTTCCAAACTCTTCTAGTTGAGGAAGATCACTCTTAGAGGCACTTCCACTGCATTTTGGGTTGTGGTAGCAATGTGGTTTACTTGGTGATTTGTTTGGTGTACAGTAACCTCCCGCTTTGTGGCTTCTATACCACATGTGAGACTTCAGGGATAAGAGTGGGATGCTCTAGCATTTCTGGCAATTGTTTGAAAATTGTTGGAAGTTGCTTGGCAATTCCTAAAGGCATTGAACCTAGCATAGAATACAATTGCAATGATTCCTGTGAGCCGAGTGTTGCTTCTATAGGTATGATGTAATTAAAACCACATCCTTCAGCAGATGTTACTTTACTTACACATCTGTTATCAGATAAATTATACACAATGAGGTAATTTACAATAATTTGTGGGCGCTTGATGAACATACAATTGCAACAGTTATACATTTCTAACATTATCTGCCTAGCTCCTTGATAACAAAAAGTCTTTTTCATAAAATTGGTGCATAGTTGCATGTCACACTTGCATGTATTTTTTTATATCTCTGTAATTAAGGAAATTCTGGTTTCCACCATGGTCTGTTTTCTACCTAGCCCAGAAACATCCACTTTTACATAACTGTTTTATATCTCTGACATCATACATAACACTACACAAACATGCAGTCTTCCCAGTCCCAGTGTTGAAAAGTACAGATAATAGAATACATTCTTCTCAAATAAAATTTACCATTGTAATTATTTATGTACTTAATTGATTAAGCTTTGCTTTTTGTAGCACTTAAACTACTATGCTTTATAAATACACAGCATCACATCCATGTATGTTTATGTTGCATGTACAATCACCATACATTAGTGATCATGATCACTGCTATTAATGGGAGGCATGTATATCCTCATTGACAGAAAAGGGGTTTACCTTGGTTGGAGATGGCAACACATTACTGTTGGTTCCATTTTTCTCCATTATTCATAGATTAATGTGATGGTCTTGATTTTAACCCCAGCCATGGGAATTGACTAAAAAAACCCCAGTATTATATCTTTTCCATTTCATATATATATATGCAACAATAAAAAGAAAGCAAAACCAGCTAAACCAAATCAGTGCAGCCTATAAGTAGCAATACCCTTAGGGTTGAAATGGATTACTTGTACTTCTGTACTACTCTTTTTTATCCTTTCTTGCTTTTCCGTATGCAAGGTCCATACAGCATTAGGCACTCCTACTAACACCCAGCTTCACAATTACCTTCCTTCTCCAGTTCCACTGCTGCAATCTGCTGTTAGCAAATGTTACAGGCTGGACTAATTACAGTGTGTTATTATCCCCTTTTCTCATTTCTCATAATTCCCCTGGCTTGCTGGATCCATTTTGCTAATTCTGTCCAAGCGATAGTAGATCTCACTGCTCAGTCTGATTCACTGTTCGCTGCTCAAAGCTAGATTCTTCTATTTTTGTACATGAAGCATGTGGCTTTTCTTTGGTTTAACCACCCCTTCAGTGCAAATATTATCATTTAGGGGTCTTATAATCTGTATAATTAGACTAATCTGTTCTCAGTCTAATGTGATAGTGATTTACTCTGTTCTGTTCTTGACCATATCTCTGGCCCTTTGTGTTTTTACAATGGCTTCAAAAACTAAAGGTTCTCTCAATTTTCCAGCTGGTTCTCTATTGTGGAGCTCTTTTTGCAATGGGGCAGATGGTAGTGGATAACCATACTCCTCCAGAATTTTCCTTGCACACCTGTTATAATTCCTTGTCTTGGGTGGATCCCAATGTTGTCTAAGTTCCCGTTAAGATCCTTTTCCTGCTTTATAGATGTGTTTAATGTCCTGGGGCTAGGCTATACACAACAACTTTTCAAATGTAACTTGTTCATAATTTGGGGCCTGTCTGCCTCTATTGTTTAGAAAACTATGGGCAAAGGCGGACAACTTGTTCCATGCCAAATACATTTTTAGTGTTACATTTGGCTTGCGCTAATACATATAATACAATGTGATGTGTGCACTTATACTGATCATTTACTACTTCAAAGATTGCATCTGCATCAGTTATTCCATCAGTACACCCAGAAGCTGTAGCAGATGCTCAAGAGGAATCAGTCATGGTTAAACAAGTATTAGCATCTAACTTAAGAAGGCATTTAATACACAGCTTTTTTGTTTAAAGGATCTGCTTTTGGGGTCAAAACTCTTAATTATTCTGGGATCTGATGAACCGTAATCATTATTTCTTCCCTAACAACTCAGTCTGATTCTGGTTGTGTAGTTCGCTTTTCCCTTCTGTTTGTCCATCTTCTGTTTTTACAGTAACCCAGGTAGTGATGGGTGATACAGGATTCACTTTGAACATGGGCGGCACCTCAGCATCAGAAGCGTGTGGACTTTTAGCCTTATACTTCTATGTGGAAGGGTCCCTATCTCAATTAAACCGTTATTCGCTATCCCCTAAGTTAGCATCATCACAAGAGGGCGTTTTAGTAAGAGCTGTGTCCGTGCCTTGCTTTGCACATAATGTTGCTGTACAGCTTCAATACCTTCTAGAGTTTTACTTTCTTGTTTTTTTTTAACTCAGCAGGGTCCTATTTCAGCTTTTAATTTCTCACCTTTGTTTTTGAAGTCTGAATTTCCTGATCTAACCTGTGTGTTGCTGACCATATTGCCCATATGCTGTCTCACTTGATCTCATTACTGAAACTTTTGGCATTAACAATTTCAGGTTCGCAAACGCATGGTCAGTATCTGTGTTATGAAAATTGGTCTCTGAGTGCATGAGCAACCCAGTTCGCCAATTCCAACAGTTCTTATAAAATGGAGGTGGAATATAAGCAAGATGCTTGCCAGGACCACTGGAACACGTTAGCCGCATTTCAGCTCTTCTGTGATCACTGGAAACTGCCTTCCACAGATAGGCTTTCACAGAAGAGCTGCTCACAGTCTTTCACTCAAGTCTTATTATGGTCCAAAAGGAAATGCACACCAAATATACAAAGTCAAGAAGTCATTGTTTAGCCAGCTAAAGTTGCAACAGTCTAATCAGAATATAACAAACAAATTATTAGCCCGGTTACAATAATACTGCACAGTCCAAATTATCAGAAATAGCCTCATTAATAATACATTAAAATTGCTGGCATATACTTCCTTGTAGAGTTTTGTTCGTCATTGCAGTGCCCCTCGAGTCCTATGTCTATGGTACCCGTCTTACACGAGAAGAGTAGGGAGAGGGGGTGTGTGGAGTCATTGACTAGTGTCCACCAAGTGGTTTCTCAGTAGGGTACATTGTTGATGGAGATAAGTTTTTTCCTCCTCATTCATGGGTTGAGCTGGGTTATATTTTCTTTGGTTGCTTAGTTGCTTGTTTTTCACTGGTTTCCAGCTAAAGTTTGACTATCTTTCTTTGACTGTCTTGGTTAAAGATACACAATAGCATCAGTCTATGGGGTTAATGTTTGCTACTAAATAAAAGCATAGGTCAGCTATACCTTTCCTGTGTGTGGCATTCACGCAGCTAACTAAAATCAAGTTGTGCTATTGTTCCCTGGCTGCCAGAGAACTGCTGTCACAGCTAAAACAAGCTGAAATCAGCTCAGGCCAAGACAAGTGCAGACAAATGGATGGACCAAAGCCTGTCACTTTTCCTACTCATGTGAAAATCATATTTACTGGACTACAGGGCTGCCTACTGCTTCTTTTCCATGTTCTCTCACAGCCTTTCTGCAGAAGAGTGACTAGGTTTTTCATATGGATGTAATCTGAATATTATATGGATATCAATAGAAAGTGGTTCATTCAAAGAGACATGGAGAATTGTAATCTGAATGCGTGCCCTTGCTATTTCTACATCATGTGCCTTAACCTCTTGAATGCCATTCAAGTTTTCCTATGAAATACAAATTCATTAGTATTTGTAAGTGTAGTGTCAACTGACTGGTATACTTGCAAAGTGAAAAAATAGGTGTAGTGAGATATCCAGCCAAGCCTGAAGAGCTCAGCAGCTTCTCTGCTTTCACTGTTGT